AATTTAAAAAATCATACATAATATATAATATTAAAATTCTGAAAATAATATTCAGAAAATCGGCAGTGCTGGATATGCACAGTCTGCAGTCTCTGTCTGACGGCTCAGCGCTTTTTAAAGACGCAGCATGCGGCAGAAGCGTAACGATTGCAATTAAATATTTACACAAATATTTTTAAAAGTAACTCTGCATCTAAAAGAAAAGTAATATTTTGTTTGTCAGCTAGAAACGAACTCTCTTTACCCGCTGACGGAGAATTTATACTGATGAAGTGAATTATTCTGTTTATTAGATTATATCCTGAAATGTCTATATATTTCATCTCCAGAAATCAGCATTGCCGCGCACCTCGCACAGGAGGCGTTGAGATGCGGGGCAAGCGAGACGCAGGCGTTTGTCGTCTCCACGCCACCTCCACACTTTCTGGACTTCCTGGCACGACGCAAGATTTTCCGGATAAACGCTATGGACGTAAACACTATCGGCTCCTTTCAGGAAATGATCGCGTTTCACGATACGTGGATGATGGTCCTCGAGGCAAAAGATGTCGAGGAGTTGCTCGTGGAGAGCAATGACAAAGGGTTGAGTGGCGAACTGTACAAAAATGTGAGGGATATTGTGAAATTTGTGGAGAAAGGTAGAAGTAGTTAAATTAGTTGGTTTAATTCAAACACTGCGTAGGTTGTTTGTGGGGTCTGCATACATCAGAGGTAAACGTCCTGTCTCGAGAAAGAGGTCCTAAGAGTCGAACTAAACATAGCTAAAAAATGGTTGACTCCTTACGTGAGTAAGGTTCTTTCCGTAGGGAAGAAAGAAATGATAAACAGTCATTTATTTCGATCGATGGGTAAATATGATGTCTAGAAAACTCCATTTTTGTGGTTTATAATCCCGATCGTACTAGTTGTTCGGGAAGAAATTGAAAGGACGAGAAAAAACATGAAGAGTAACTTGACGTTCGGAACCACAAATGACTACTGTTGTAGAATCCATGTTAATACAATTCAATAAACGCATGTATTCAAATTACGCGGTATCTTCTCTGGTAAGCGTACTACTTTTTAAATTCACCAGAAACCTTCAACAACCTGGCAAGTTTTTGTGACACCTTTACTAATAATAATTTCAAGGATCAAAAATGTCTATGTAAACAAAACGCAGAACAAAAATAAATGACAAAGAAAATGTGGTTCAACAATATTGATTCACTATAAGGTCTTGTGATAGGAAAACGTGTTATAAAGAAGTAAAATTTTCTTCTTATATCGACGCATGCTAAAATATAGGTGTGTTAATAAATATGTAAAAGAAGTGGTTGTAAACACGATTTTATGATAAAACTATAAACACACTTACCGAATGAAAAGGTAGAACCGGTAGAACCAATATAACCTACCTGAAAATAAAAAAAAAAGAATTAAAATTCGTACTCAAATACTGTTACAAAAAAACTAACCCAATTATTAATATATTAATGCATAGAATAAAGACATTATGATAACAAAATTATGGCAAAGTAGAATTATTTTCAAAAAAGCATTCAACAAGGTATTTTCACCTGTATATCGAAATATTGAAATAAATTATGTTCGATATTGTTTAATCTATTTTGCATTAGTTGACATGATGTAAGTGCAATGAAGTAATTCATTTTAATGACACACTCAAACTGTGTGTTCAAGAACAACAAAAAATGCATTGCATGACCTAAATTCCTTCACCTTGCCACTCCATTTTCTTGACACTCGTTTTCGGTCATGAACACAGATTTTTTAACATTCTCCAGCACTTTATGCACCATTTACTCGATATGTACATCCATATACTTATTATGCATCATTTCTAAGCTCGTGAGGTTAGAACGAAGACATCCCTTCATCATATATTCTGATAATCATAATCATAAGGGTGGGCTTTCTCATCGTCACAAAGCAATATATATTGGTATATTTGTAAGGAAAGGACAGTTATTATTTTGCCACGACCGCGAATCGAGCCCAGGGTTGCGCAATGGAAAGCAAGCACGCTAATGAATGAGCCACAGCCACCGAAGGTTAGCTATATAAGTTACATTTTAAAATTATATTTTAAAGGTGCGAGTTCAAAAATATTAAAGTGTTTAATTAATAATTTAAAATTGTAAATCGAAAGAAATAAATATATAGCTTTCGAAATGTAGGTATAAATTAATTTCCCTAGTAGATTTGCCATGTGTAACGAAATGAACATGAAAATGTTTCTGGATGGGGTACCTTAGGGTAAATGTGATTAGAATTCTTCTTTACTTGTGTGTAAGTGTAATGTGTAAAATCTTCTGAAGTGTTCTACGATGGATTTGTGTATCTAGAGTAACTGGAAATGTAGAAATAAGAAATCTCTATGATTACTCCAAGAAGCCTATAGACAATTCTATGGAAAGTGACGTTGTAATATGTGAAGATGTGTTGTCTTGTGATGTTAACACTATTATTTGCCAATGGTATGGTGTTGAGTTACACATTCAATGAGCTAACTAGAATAAAAACTCATAGAAAACATTGCATACTGGTAGATACAAAAAATAGAGTTGTGAAAAATGCAAAAATGTCGGCAGTATTAATGAAAACTCCCCTGGGTTGAGCAATTAAAATATCACGAATATTTAATGTGTACACATTTAATTGAAATTAATTTAAAATAACTTGAAATAGATTGATTTATGAAATTATCAAATAAGGAATTTCATATTCAAAATTTAGAATAAATATTTGAGATCTTGCGCCAATCGGTTACCCAACCCGTTTCAGAGATTGGTGTGTTTGCAATCAGTTAAAACATATTTAAGAAACCCCTAACAATGAAGAGAAATACGATACATTGCCGATTGATTATTTTGTTGTTCCGTACATCGACAACTCTAGGAAGCTAAAATACATACTTCTACATAAGTACCAAATGAAGGTTAATTTCAAACCAGCTAATGAAGTCAAGTTGGTAAAGAACGTTAAAGATAAGATTGATCCAGGAGAATAGTCCAATGTCCTGTACAAGATATGTTGTCGTGACTGTCCTCAAATACGTATATATCGGAACAACGTCACGGAATTAAATCCAGAATTGGCGAGCACAAAAGAAATGGGAGACTACCACCTACACAACAGAATCCGATCGCATACCAACAAAAATAGACTACCCCATAAAATTTATTTCGAGCACCCTGTAATATTGGAGATTGTAAACGACTACTTTGGGATAATGGCTTTTGAATCACAGCAATGAAGACTAAGACAACAATGAAGTACCAGGTTGAGTCCGATTTATTTACAAAACCTTATGATTCAGTTGTAACCCTGAAGTAATTGTAGCATTTACAACAAACCATACTTCGCCTTAAACCCACAAAATATCACCACCCCTTCCTCCCTTTTTTACTACTCTTTTCCCATCCCCTTCCAACTGTCCATTTTCCCCAAACCTCCAACGTTCCTCCTTTTCCGTGCTTATGCCACGTGAATGTCACTTTCATTCACCCAGGGAATCTTGAGCACTCAACAACTCTCGCCGAGTTTTACGGGCTTCATGTTCTTGTGACGGGATGAACTCACGGATTGTTCTTGGCACACAATCCTCAAAAAAAATGAAGATGCCCTACGTGAAAAAGATTTAAATTATAACATATATTCATGATAGAGAAGGCTTGTTCATCTGAGAAAAAAACACGTTTGCTAAGGTAAGTGCGCTTTACTTCTATTTTGTTGTTGGCCTTCTTGTCCACTTTTATTATCTCGCATAATGTATTATGTACTAAAATTTGATAGTTCAATCAGTATAAAATTTGAAAACTATTTTCCAATAATCAAATCATTTTTTTTGAGAAACCATTGTTTTTAATGTCAATCATATAGTGAGGATTTCTCTCTATTACTGAGTTTTAATATAATTTTACTAATTTTAGACAAAATGCACCTGATGAGACCTCACAGATCCGAAACGCGTAGTGCAACAAGTAGACTTAATAAAAGTAACTGTTGGTGTCTACTGTCAAAGAAAGAGTATAATTAAACTTATGATATTTTAATGTGAATAAACATGTTGACTTGTTAATAACTGTTTTTTTAAATGATCTTGCAGAATCACTGTTTATAAACTAGAATGGGTCAATATGGATCAGTGAAACTTGAAATACTTAAAATGACAGTGCAATAATTGGAAAAAATCAAAACTAAGATAATTTAATAAATATGACACTGTAATATCGTAACAAGCAAGCATTAAACCGTAATTATATATCTAACCTTGAACAATTTCTTCGGAAAACATTTAATTATCAAGGAAACAAGTGAGGATTTCTAAAACTTTGGTGCGAAATTTTCCTTTCCAGTATTCTTAATAAAAAATAAATGAACGAAAAATAAAATTAAAGTAACAAACAATTAAAGTAATTTTACGCATCACCAAATAATTCCCTCAGAAATCATAGCACATATAATGTCTTGGAAGAAGGGAAAATTATCTAACCTGAAGCAAAATAAAATATAATAAAGAATAAATAAATAAAATAAATGTATGTTCCTTGTTGTTGAAATTTAACGACCAGTTAGCTTAAAACATTTAATTCCCACTTTAACATCGAAAAATTAACGATTATACGAATAAAGCACGATAGACCTAAATATCCCTCTTCTATTACATGACAATAATATACAAACAGCTGCAAAATGTGAACGGGAATCGCAAAGAACTTGAAAACCGAACTATCTCTTATTCACAAAATTATTTATCTCGCACGACGAATCTTAATACCCTTGTGACGTAAGAAGTTTCCCCAAATACTTTCCAGAACTCTCTCATTCCCTACGGTGGAAATTTTTATCTCTGAAACGTAAGGCGCGTCGCCGCAGTGTCATCATCTAAGAAGAGTGCGCGAGCGCATGTCAGCCGCTACCCTCGTTAGGCTATCGAGAGCGGAAGCTGTTAAAAGTCCGTGTTAGCGATCGGGTGGCGCCATACGCTCTCTGGCATGTGGTGCGCGCTGCTGCTGGTAGCAGCCGTGGCCGCCGCGGCGGCGGAAGAGCCCTCGGGTGAGTACGGCTCTTGAAAATGGCGAACCGTTTAAACTACTCCCAACTTGTAATTTAAAAAAAAAAAGTATTTTGTGTACTATTTTTCTTATATCTCAATAAGTTTCACTTTAAATTGGCGTTTTAATTATGTTGAAATCACTCGTGCAAGCATTTTAATATATTATATTATTTTTTTTATTATTTTATTAATTATTTTTATTAATAATTTTTAGTATTTTTATTAATTATTTTTATTATTTTATTTATTATTATTATTATTATTATTATTATTATTATTATTATTATTATTATTATTATTATTAAACGTGAATTCGTCCTTTCGTTTGGCTGAGGTGCTGGCTCAAATGCTGTTAAATACTGTTACATAATGCAACGCATAAATGCTGAAAGACTTAGAAATACATAAAGTAAATTGTAAAATTTATGTTGTGAGGCTAACCATCATACGAAATGGGTTATTGGAAATTGATTATTCTGATGAGACAAGTTATCGAGCTGGCATGTTGTGAGGGTTGCATCTTTAAAACACATTTCTCCAAAGTTGACATTTTTAATATTAAATTTACCTTGTGTTATTTATTACATTTCTAATACAAAACAGAAATCTTCAAGAGTTTGTATTAAAAGTATTCTGAATTTCCTGAAATTATGTTTTTATTACTGTAGTACGGGCTTTTTCTAGTTAACAGAATTCTGCAGAACTTGATTTACTAGAAAACGTGACAAAAATAATCGCATCATGAGAAAATATTTATATCTCCAAAAACATTGACAATTAACAAAATGTGTTACTCGAGTGATATTACTCGTATGAGTGATGTATCTGTTGCCTGTAAACTTTTATAAGTCTAAATTTAATAGATCCTGAGATTTTTACTCGAACACAACACTGCCAGGATAGCGCACCCCGTATCCCCTTGAACAGCGTACGAAGGCAAAGAGTAACCCCGGGCACCCGCATGCCTCGCAGCTGGGCGTCGTCGCCTGTTCGCGCTGCTGCGGCCGCGCGCGGGGGAGCTGGAGGGCGGCGGCCGCTGGAGCCGCGATGCCGGGCCCTCCGAGGGCAGCCCTTTCGTCGTGATGCCCGACGCCTCCGCCTCGCAGCCCTTCGCCGTGCGCTCCGTGCCCCTGCTGCTCGTCGAGGACGTCGACCGCAGGTCCCGCCCTCCCCTCCTACCCCTCCCCCTTCCTCCTCCTCCACCCCTCCCCTCCTCCACCCCTTCCCCTCCTCTCCTCCCCCCCCTCCTCCTCCTCTCTCCCTCCCCTCCCTCCTCCTCTCCCCTCCCCTCCTCCTTCCCCTCCCCTCCTCCTCTCCCCTCCCTCCTCTCCCCTCTCCCCTCCTCCTCCCCCCCTCCTCCTCCTCCCCCCTCCCTCCTCTCCCCCCTCCTCCTTCCCCTTCCTCCTATCCTCCCCTCTCCTCCCTCATCCTCCCCTCTCTTCCTCACCTCATCCTCCCTCTCTCTCTCCTCACCTCTCCCTCTCTCCCCTTCTCCTCCTCATTCCTCCCCTTCTCCTCCTCATCCTCCTCTTCTCCTCCTCATCCTCCCCTTCTCCTCCTCATCCTCCCCTTCTCCCCTCATCCTCCCCTTCCTCCTCCTCATCTTCCCCTCCTCCTCATCCTTCCCCTCCTCCTCATCCTTCCCCTCCTCCTCCCTACCCCTCCTCCTCCCTCCCCTCCTCCTCCTCCCCCCCTTCCCCTCCTCCTCCTCCTCCCCTCCCCTCCTCCATATACCTTTCATCTAGTACTTATGGTATCAACTGGTATCCAACTTTTGACCTTCTGAAGTCCATAATGACTTTCTGAAGTGCAACAAATGGAAAGAAAATGAAATGAATGAATAAGTAAATTTAAGAATAAAATGCATTATTAAAAAAGATCAAGCGTTTTCTAATAACAGACGCAAATAATAAGTCCGTGTCTGTTCTTCTAATGAGCATAACCTACCATGCTACCATTATACTTCGTGTACATTTTGTTTTATAATTAATATATCTAGATTTTAGATGTGTCAATTCTTGTAAGATTTCGTACATAATGACATATTTCTCTCTACTTCTTGGAGTACTAGCTACGAAGAGCTGGACACATTTGAGAATTTACGGTTGGACTACGATCTGCCGTTGCATCTCATCGGGGAGATCGAGAAATGGTGTCAACTTCACTAAACAATAGAGTAGTGTGCATAATAATAGGTATCCCAATGCTAGCTGATGAATAGGCATAAAAATAATGATAGCAAAGATCTATGCAGAAGTTCTTGATTTCTAACGTTTTGTCAAAAAAAATGTAATGTGTTTTCAGACCTATCGTAAGCGTGATATGCACAAGTGAAAATAAAGGCAAAAACATAATAGATTTAATCGGCTGAGCCACTTCAAAGACACTCTTGTCTGGAACTACAGTCAATTGGAAGAATCCTGTATTTTTCTATATCCTTGACGGACAGTTTTCAACTTTTGGTCTCCTTTTAGCCATATTTCATATTAGCGAAGCAAATGACGCGAAGCAAATGTAAAAGAAGACAATTAAGAGCTGACTGTTAAATCGGATGTGTACATTCAAAGCTACAACTATGGAGAGGTTTGCAAGGAGAATATCTGTTTTATTTGAAAATAATGTACAGCAAATAATTCAACTTGAATTTTCAATTTTACGAAGAAGGATAAATTGTACGATGACATAAATCTTACAACTGGCAGATATAACCGAATATTTACTGTCATTGTAACCTCTAATAAATATTCAAGAAATACGTATCATTAAGTGTTATACGTATTTATTGATAATAATTAATATATTGGCAAGGATTAGTTCTACTTACATTACAAAACTAGTCAGTAGAGAGCCATGGATTATTAGAAAAATTATTTTAATTGCCCTTAGTTTAAACTAAAACGTTGTTTTCATAACTCTTAGTACAAACTAAAACGGATGTCGGTGTGTAATGAACGAACATTTCAACATTGAGTCAACATTTCAATAAGTGCACATCATTTTCCTTTTTTAATAAAATAACCAGTTCAAATGAATAATGAGTTTGCATCGCTATTTGTTGGCGTAGGGCAACCCGCAAGTCACTCCACTGGTCACTGGCAGCGACATCTCGGGCAGCGAAGTGCCCGTCATCTACGCTACTCCTGCGCTACTCGGACGCAGAGGCTACATCAACCGGCAGCATAGCACAGTGAATAGCGGAGACGTCTCTCAGGTACGGTTTCACCAATGCTGATGGCGCTAAAGAATTTCGACGAAACTCACAAACCTCTCTGCAGAATATGTTGTTTTTTTTGTATCCCAGCATTATAAAAGAATCTTTTATGTTGCAAGAAATCGTTCATAAGCGGGCATTTTACGGTACAAATGATGACATATTAGATTTTATGTCACGAATAATTGAGTCATCTCACATTGAGTCAATCGTAGCGAGAGAATCGGAGGGCCATAGTGCTAAACGGAACAGCCGACCTCCGTTTACTCGCACGATGTCAAATACCAGAGTCGTCACTGGGAAGTTGTTTCGCAAAATTAAGTTTGATTCTCTTATAAATGTATAATGCTGTTGTACAAACAATATAGTATGCACCACGTTTATAATGTTGCTTTATTACATTCGTACAAATTTGAAAACTGCCTCCTGAAGTCTCTCGTTTTCAAAACATGTTCTCATGTAATAAAGCTTAATATTATAAACTAATTGCATAAACTACTATTACAGTTTTCAGAGATATACAAATTGAAACGAGCAGATCAACTTTTTAGTTCGGGTAGAGATTAAAGAAGAAATTGTTTCCCTTCTCTTTCAAAACACTCGCAACCGTTACATATTTTAACGTAAATAATAAAGTGAATTATTACGTTTCTACCGCATTGGAGATTGACAAGCGATTGATTTTGAGGAAACTATCTGCTAATTTCATTACATTACAAATAATCGGTTAAGACTAAAACTGCGAGCTACCATGACAAACATACTATTCACGTTGTGTATGTTTATGTCCATAAAACATCCAAGATAGGGAGCCATTTCCAACTGGAAAAGTGTGGTTCGATATACCCTTAATAGCAATATGATTACTGCAATTGTTTGCACGAACTAAACCTTTAATCTGTCTACCCTATTAATGAATCTCTCCCCTTTCTATTTCTCTGTACAAACTATTATAAACTCGCCAACCTTCAATTCAGCGGAAATTGAAGATAAATACGCAGTTTGGCCTGACGAAATAAAATTATAGACATTTCCATCAATGTGGCTATAACTTTCATATCTGGTGAAAACAATCGCCTTACATTTCTCTATGTAACCAATTTTTGCTACCAAAAGATATATTCTCTGTATCATCTTCATTACCTTAATATCTCGATCCTGCACAGACATTAAGCTCTAATCATCCCTAACTAAGCAACGTTCATCGAACAATCCTACAAATTTTGTTTCTGCCTTTACTGTTTAAAATATAAGAAACACGAAATGCGACATCAAACATATAATTTTTCATCAGAATTATTACAGATTATTATTATTGATAATAATTACCATAATGTATATTAAAAGAAAATATTATTAAAAAATTCTAAGCAAATTTATTTTCGTATATAATTTGCTTCATTTCAGGAGGTTCCTGAGCCTCGACGAATACTGGAAAATGGCAATGTTGACATCAACATCAGAGTTAGACCATACTCGATATTCCCCCACACAATACCGGCAGTGTCTCTCTCAGATATTCCGGTGACACAGCCAGACGTTCGTGATGAAGATGACATCATTGGAGAACTTGGAATATCCCAAACAATGTTCGGCAACCGGTTCAGGAGAGCCATTGCTACTAACAGAGAGAATACTGAAACAAATGCTCCTCTTCGCAACACAGAACCGATTTTGGATCATCAGAATGACGATTTTCTGATTGGAAACACTCTTCACAATACGAAATATGTCTCACAAGATAGGGATGCTGAATCAGAAATGAGCAGCGAAGATTCCATCATAGACTCGGACGCATGGTTGATGTGGAAAGATGAAGGGTCTGTTCCTTCGAAACCACTACATGAAAAGAAAACTGAAGTAATTCACAAACCAACCACAGAGCTAGAACCTCCCAGGGAAGTTCCACCTAAACCTTTTGTTTAAAAATGCAGTTATTCCTGTGAAATTTGAAGAATATATGTTTGAAGCGAAATATCTTCATATGCTTGAGCATATGACGAGCTGAGTTGCACAGCCAAACTAGTAAAATAAAAATGAACATTCTGCGAGAAAGTAATACTTTGGTAATTTGTTACTTTATGATAATAAACGAATGAAAAATTGTATTGTTCATCTTTATGTATAAAAAATGAATTTGGTTAATTGAGTAATAAAATAGGGTAAGTGAACAACTTGTTGAACTATTACACTAACAAATACAAGTAAAATTAATCTAAACAATTATTGCCTCAACTTCACAGCTGACCAAATTCGAACATTTTTTTCGTTTGTAAGTAAATTTTAATGCTTTTTAAGTTGAATCTCGAATATTCACATGGCAACTGCTTTTGTTTTTATTTATTTCTTTAATACTTTCTACCCATATTTTTGTGAATGGAACATTTTTGCCTTACAAATGTGGGTTCAACCAATTTGAAGAACTCAGTTCTTCATATTTGGGCGTATTATATAAACTAATAACAAAAGTGACCAAGTTTACCAGAGTTCATTCATTACTTGATCTACTTCAGTATTGGCAAACTCATCTCGAATAATGTATTTACAGAATTATATTAAAACAATATTACAATTATTACTGCACCTATTTTTCTGCTTGTTTATAATATTTAAGGCAAAAACATTCTCACACTTTTAAATTAGTAATCAAATGTACAGATCTGGTATTTTTAATAGTTATCAGTTTTCGATTCAACGACTACTTACTTCTCGCGTAATATGAATGACAAAACTGTGTAACAAAATTGGATATTTTATATTGCAAGCCTTGGAAGTTTTTAAACGATTTCTAGCACGAAAATAGTAATACAAATAAAAAGACAAAATTGTTTTTGCGGACAGGAAACATTTTTTGTTTTGAAAATAGAATTTCAAAGGAAAAAACATATTAAATCGATTTAAATAAAATGTATACTTTTTATAATGATCTAAGTTTTTCCAAAATAATATTAAATCATGAGGCCAGCCGTTACAATTCCATTTCCAATCGTATTTTTGACCATTTATTTCGAAAATTAATTAACTGAACCGAAATTCTGCCAAAAATTCCAATAAAATGTATGTAGAAATCATTTCACGGCCAAAACATCTCATTCCAGTAAGGCAAGTCGATCGAGATATCATTTACAAATAGGTATTTCATTGATTTGACTAACAATGTAATTAAACAACGGTTTTTATTTATGTTTTTCCTGAATTAAGAAAAAATTATATTGTTGTATTTCGTAATTCTGTTACGTTTTCATTAAGTAGTGCTGCCTAATAACATTCGAAGTCCACTATATCCAGGCGAAAGCATTTTTTCTATTCTACAGAAAAGGAATAGAGTATGTTGCATCTGATTTTTTCTAACCATCTGAATTCTTCTCATAAAACTGTTCACACAGAACAATTTTATGCGTACTACAAATATATTAAAAGTGAATACATAAGCCATTCTCTTTCTATGCTCAAACTTTTTCCATGCTTTTAACATATGGTAAATGATTTACGAAACCGTAATTTATGTTTTCTTAAATCAGTTTGAAAAGAGTACTTTTATCAGGATAAAGAAACGTTCATAAGAGTTCAATAAGTGTGATTGTAATGAGATTGGATGCGGAGCTCTGCCTTGATCTTGCGAGTGCACTGCAACCGTTCTAGTCTCCCGTTGGGGCGTTTCCAACACACACATCACACACACACATACACACACATACACACACACAACACACACATACACAAGGCCGTGTTCGCATTGGGTGGGTAAACTGCCGCGTTAGAGAGAAAGTAATAGTACGGAAGTTTATCGTTGTTGGGCGTTCGGACATCTGGCGCGCGACTGCCAAGGACGGACAGGTCGAAATCCTGTCACCGATGCGGAGAAGACGGCCACTTACGTCAGGCTTGCAAAGCGCTGAGGCGAGTGTGTGCTCTGCAAAGATAAGAGGAACCACCCGACGGGAGTTTCACGTGTCCTGCGTACCAAGTAGCAATGAAGGCAACGGATACAGAAAATGAGAGTTCTCCAGATAAATTTGAATCATTACGAGGCGGTCCAGGACCTTCTCACCCAGACGGTGCGCGATAAGAATATTTATGTTGCAATACTCTGCGATCAGTACAGAAATATTGTCGGTCTCCAGTTCTGGGTTTCGGATGCGACTAACCGAGCTGCAGTATGTATATGTGGTAATAGTCCAGTCCAGGATGTTATGCAAGTCCCAAGGGATGGATTCACTGGATCAAAGGATTCGGTGATATTTCTATAGTGTTTATGCTGCACCCAGTGCATCGCTTGAGGAGTTCGAGGAATTACTTGATCGCTTAATAGATGACCGGAGAGAACGAAGGCCTCTTATTATTGCTAGGGACTCAATGCATCGGTCACGGAGTGGGGCAGCAGAATAACGAATCGACGCGGGGTGGCTCTCCTGGACATCCTTGACAGTTTGGATGTCTGCCTCTGCAACACGGGGGCCAGTCCGACCTTTGAATGAATGGTCGCAGCTCGGTCGTTGACATAACTTTCGTCTGTAAAAGCCTTACTAGACGTATTGTATCATGGAGGTTAGTGCACATTATACACATAGTGACCACCAAGCTATTGTCTATGAAGTGAAAGAGCAGTGCATGTTGAGCTCACCAAGGGTAGAAGGAAAGCTGTTTGGAACCACAGGACGTTCGATCGTGATTCCTTCATTGCCATGATGGAGGGCAACCCTGAAGATATGTTGGCCCGTGACTCTGAATATATTGTAGAAACCGTAATGAACGGTATTTGACGCTTGTGATGCGTCAATGACAAAAGGTACAAGGAGAGAACGCCGTCCTCCAGTGTACTGGTGGACTGACGAGATCGCGGAACTTCGCAGGAATGCCACCGAACACGTAGATTGGCACAGCGCGCCTGGAGCCGCCCAAACTATGAATTTCTCAAGAAGCAACAACTGGACGCCAGAAGAGCTTTACAAAAGCCATTAAGATTAGTAAGTGTAGTTGCTGGCGAGAGCTAGGGGAGGAGGTGGATGCTGACCCCTGGGGACGCCCGTAATAGCTGGTAACGGCCAGACTCAGGGGTATGTTCAGGCGACCACCCACTTGCCCGGTGTTCTTGGAAAAGTTGTAGCTACCTTGTTTCCTCGCCAGGTAGATATGTTTCAACCGAAGGATCGTCTGGAAGATCTAAGCGAGGTTCCGGCAGTCACGTTGGATGAACTTTCCAGAGCTTGCGGCAAGTCCAAGATTGCAAAGCCCCCGGATGAGATGGGTACCAAATGTAGCAATTAAGACCGCTATTAAGACTCGGCCCGATCTATTCTTGCAGGCATATAATGCATGCATACGAGAGGGAATTTCCCCGTCGATGAAGCAGCAACAAGCTAGTCCTTCTTCCGAAGGGCGATAAGGCAGCTACTGATCCGGCAGCCTTCGGCCAATATGCTTACTGGACACAGCAGGCAAAGTGTTGGAGCGGATTATCTGCAATCGCATTGAGTCATTTACAGAGGGGCCTCAAGGATTGTCTAATAATCAGTACGGCTTTAGAAAAGCGAGATCCACGGTAGATGCAATTAAGGTAGTCATGTATGAAGTATGAAGTATTGTGCTATAGTGACCCTAGACGTGAAAAACGCCTTGACACTGCAAGGTGGAGCTCCATTCTTTCTGCGCTACAAACTCTTGGAGTTCCAAGGTACATCTCGAACTTGGTAAAAAGTTACTTTAAGGATAGAATCCTCCTATATGAAACTGGGTCTGGAGTACAATCTTATACGGTCACAGGCGGTGTCCACAAGGCTCGTACTCAGTCTGATGTTGTGGAACATTTATGTATGACGCCGTGTTGAGCTCAGAGTCTGCCGGAAGGCGCAAAAAACTATTGAAATTCGCTGACGATTGTTATCAATTGTCGTTGTCGGCAAATACATCGGAAGAAGTCACGCAGGTTGCCAACGAGGCGTGGCGGGATCCAGCGGTGGCTTACGTCGGGCTACAGATGCCGCCCATGAAACAGAGGCTGTGCTGGTGACGGGCAGGAAAGAAGGAGAGTATTACTCTTAATGTAGGAGGCTGCAAAATATCCCGCAGCTGTCACTGAGGTATTTGGGAGTGCATATTGACGCGAGACTGCGCTTTGACGAGCACCTGCGCAATGTCTCCGAGAAAGCGTCTCGTATGGCATCCGCATTGGCACGCATTATGCCTAATGTAGGGGTCCTGGGCAAAGAAGCCGGAGGCTGCTGACTAGCGTAGTAAATTCCATTCTTCTCTACGCAGCCTCTATTTGGCTGATGCCATGGGCATTCAGTCATACGCCCGTGGGGCTAAGTCGGTGCATAGAAGTCCGCCTTGCGGGTGCTCGAGCGTTTCGCACCGTATCTATGATGCTGTGTGTGTGTTAGCAGATACGCCTCCGATCGACCTCATTGCGCAGGAGAGAGCTAGACTCTATTTGCGCAAGCGGAGGGGTTCCAAACTGGAATGCCATTACGAAAGAAGAGAGGGGGTGACAATGGACCAATGGCAACGACGATGGAGATCATCAACTGGGCGAGGACATTTCGGGTCATTCCGACATCATGACGTGAATTCAAAGGAACATGGAGAAATTAGATTTTATCTAACTCAGATGCGACAGGGCATGGATGTTTACCGACAGTATCAGCTCCGATGTCCGGTTGGACGATAGCTCCTTCATGCCAAGGTGTTTCCCGGTGATTGAAGATGTAGAACACGTGTTTTTCATGTCCACGCTTCGCAGTGGAAAGGAAGAACTTCACTGACTCTCCAAGAGGAAGTTGACCCCCGAGACCATCGTCACTAGGATGCTGCTGACACAAGAGTATTGGAGTGCAGTAGCCACCTATGCCGCAAAGGTCCTGAAGACACTCTGCTCCGAGGAGCAGTTACGAAGAAGTCTCCGTAATATTTCCGGTGAAGTGCGAAAAGCTCATCCTTTCTTCTCGCGATGCAAATGCCTGACGGCGGTTCCGCGGGAGGAATAGGAGGAAAGGGAGGTTTTTTAGTGGGTAGGCATAGGCTAGCTATGAATCCACACGCTGCGGGTTTGCGGGCCCCGCTGTGCTTTAGAAGATTTTCCCCTGCCACGTAAAAAAACAAAAACAAAAAAACACATACACACTCACATACACACACTTTTACCTCCCAGAGGGGTAATGCAACAATTCAAAAATATACTATTACATAATTAAATGTAATAATTAAAAGTAAATCTATTCGTAAACTCTAAACAAATCAACCCAACTTTTATGGGAGACAGCACAAAAGAGAGATTAACAATACCAGTGTGATGGTATTTATTGCATTTTAAAGACGTGAATTATCTTGAATAGTTCCGACTCTCCTACTTCTTGCTGCTTGGTCATTATATTGAATGCACTGATACTCCCACATAATTCAGATTACTTAGATGAACGTTTCAGCGCCGTCATTAAGTTCTGCATTTAAAATAATGAACAAGTATGTTCTATATGGTAATAAATCATATTACATGATGAATTGAGATGTTAAAGAACTTACGTAATTTATGACCGAATGAAAATCATATCCAAAGCACGTTTGTACCTTATAACGACATGCTCTAACAGTAAAGACAGATGCTGTAACAGTACAAAACAATTGAAGTCGGTACACAAATTTAAGTTAAAAGTAAAATCTTTTCTACTACATAACTGTTTCTATACAATTAAAGATTCAACTGATCATTAAAAAGAAAAATAATGTTTATTTGTATTGTATATATTTTTTTACACTTGATAGGACTTTAACAAATTATGTGCTTCAGTCAATCTCGATCAAGTATTTGTCCAGTTTCCCTGATACATTGAGCAAATGTTGAGATGACCCCTTGTTTCGCTTCTGGACGTAAATGTAGCTTCACTATGCGCACGTTTTGTTGAACTCTTCTTTTGCTTGTAATGGTAAGAGTAGAGGTAAGGGCGAGATGCTATTTT